CATGCTATAAGCAGGAGTGCTACCAGGCCTGGGCTGACGCATCAGCGTCCCGGGATGTAAACAGCAGCGCTCTAAAAAAGAAGTATAATCGTCCTTCAAAAGAGTCATTGCCATGGCAAAGTCAGAGCACATAGGCAGAATTGGCGAGAAACTAGTCCGCCTTCCTTCTGGAACCCGTGCATTCTGGTCTCTCGCCAAGGCTGTCCAGGGGAATTTCTGTCAGCCATCTTTTCCATCTCTGCACAGGGAGGACGACTCACTGGCCCATACCGCAAAGGAGAAAGCCGATCTTCTAGGCTCTTTCTTTGCATCCAACTCGACTCTCGATGACGGGGGGAGTACGTCGCCGACCATCCCGCGGTGTGAGTGCTCCATGCCGGAAGTGCAGTTCACACAGCGCTCGGTTCGCAAAGCACTCCTCTCCCTGGACATCCACAAGTCGAGTGGGCCTGACGGAATCCCCCCAATTGTGCTGAGGACGTGTGCTCCAGAGTTGGCACCGGTTTTAACGCGTCTTTTCCGGTACTCCTACTCCCTAGGCGTAGTCCCAAAATCATGGAAGACGGCTTTCGTCCACCCGATCCCTAAAAAAGGCGACCGCTCAGACCCGTCCAACTACCGGCCTATCGCCATCACCTCCTTGTTCTCCAAAACAATGGAGTCCATTGTAAACTGCCAGCTCATGAGGTACCTTGAGGATCACCAGCTGATTAGTGACCGCCAATACGGTTTTCGCCGTGGTCGGTCAGCTGGTGATCTTCTGGTCTACCTAACTCACAGATGGGCGGAGGCAGTAGAGTCCAAGGGGGAGGCATTGGCCGTTAGTTTGGACATTGCGAATGCCTTCGATCGGGTTTGGCACAAAGCGCTTCTTTCGAAGCTCCCTTCCTATGGGCTTCCCGAGAAATTGTGCGATTGGATCACCAGCTTTCTTGCAGATCGGGGCATCAAGGTCGTTGTAGATGGTGCAAGCTCGGATTGCAAGCCTATTAATGCTGGTGTTACACAAGGCTGCGTGCTATCGCCAACGCTGTTTCTTCTGCATATCAATGATATGTTGCAAACCCGTAACATTCATTGCTATGCAGATGACAGCACTAGTGATGCTCTTTACACCGGCCGAGCCAATATTTCTCGGGAAAACGTCTCCGAGTGCCGGGACAAACTTGTGTCTGAAGTCGAGTCTTTGCTGAACAGAGTCTCGGATTGGGGGCGACTAAATCTAGTCCAATTTAACCCCCAGAAGACACAAGTTTGCGCGTTAACCGCTAAAAAGAACCCCTTTGTCGTATCTCCTCAGTTTCAAGGCACTCCCCTTGTTGCCTCAGCCAGTATCGGAATCCTCGGCGTCGACATATCGAGTGACGTGCAGTTTCGTGGTCACTTGGAAGAGAAGGCCAAATTGGCCTCTAAAAAGCTTGGCGTGCTCAGCAGAGCGGGATAGTATTTCATGCCGGCCCACCGCCTGCAACTTTACAAGGCGCAGGTTCGGCCGCACATGGAATACTGTTCCCATCTCTGGGCTGGGGCTCCCCAGTACCAGCTCCTTCCACTTGACCGCATCCAGCGCAGAGCGGCTCGAATGGTCGACGACCGAGTGTTTTCCGATCGGCTCGATTCACTGGCACTGCGAAGAGATGTTGCATCTCTTTGCATTTTCTTTCGCATATACCATGGAGAGTGCTCTGAGGAATTGTTCGGATTAATCCCAGCCGCCAAATTTCGTGAACGCACTACGCGGCAAACGTCGCGATACCATCCACATCATCTGGATGCTTGGCAGTCCACCACTGTACGTTTCAAAAGGAGTTTTCTTCCGCGTACAACCTCTCTGTGGAATAGTTTACCACCAGCGATTTTTCCGGACCGATACGACCTGTGGACCTTCAAGAAAAGAGCGTACTCCTTTCTAAAGGGCCGGCAACGCACCTGCAATTCCCCTGGTGTTGCGGTTGATCATGGGCGGCGGTAGTCACTTAACATCAGGTGAGCCGCATGCTCGTTTGCCCCCTGTTCTATAAAAAAAAAACTTTTTAACACCATTTATTTAAGCATATACACAGGAAATATCCATCCAGTTTCGTATTCCTCCGAAATCTGGAAAAACACCGCCAATAGGCAATAATGTCAAACTGTCAAAGTGGAAATTCCGAACAAATAATTCAATATAACTGATTCTAAAAATAACCAAACTATAATTATATTAAAAACATATTAGGTGGTAAATTATTGTATTATGTTGCCAATTTAACATTATCGATAATTTAATAAATTGTATATCTCCTTATTGAACTTATCTTCGGAGCCAGCGTACTGAGTGACGTACCGCAGTTATTAGAAAAGATTTCCGGCTAGCCACTTTAAAAGGCGTAAGTTTGGCATCACGTGGATTACTGTTCTTATGTGAGCGTGCCGGGCCTCCCTAGCATCTCCTTTCACTAGACCGTATTCAACGTTGAGCGGCTTTCTGATCGATGTTATTCATCGTCTTTGCAAGGAGACTACATTTTTTATTTATTTTTTCTATCATTTATGGGAGAGTGCTCTAAAAATCGTTTGGATTATTCCCGTCTGCTAAATTCTACAATCGTACACTACAATAAGACTCTAAATTTCATCAACACCACACGATGTTTGAAAGTCCGTGCGTTTACCAGGAATCTACTGCCGCATACGATCACATTATTGAATTTACTGTAGTCAATGGTTTTCCTAGATCGATGTAACTTAGTTCGTAAAGAGCATTATTTTTTCTAAACGGCCTATAACGCACACCCCCCATTTTCACTGCTTTTGGATATGGGTGGCGGTAATTACTTAGGTGAACTATATATTAGGCTGCCTGTTCTTCTATAAAAAAAGAAAAGGGCCCATTTTTAGGAATTATTTTCAGTGGCACTAAGTTTTATTTAAAGTTTTAAGTTAAATTGTAAATTCTATAACAATTCCACTGCCAAATCAGAAAAATTAAGATATTCAAAAATTGAGGACAGACAAAAATGTACAGCAATTATGCATATTTGTATTCTAGTGATAAAAAATGATACGTGCATATTCTTATCAGTGATAGTCATATATTTACGATTACAAATGAAATACGTTGTCGCTTATCATGGTTATAAAGTGCTTATTATTGTTTTTTTAATGTTTTTTTCGATAATTTTCTTGCTCGCGAAAGAATAAGTGCATAGACAGGTATACTAGTTATAGCATTTAGTTACTATCTGGGCTTCAAGTTTTTATCTATCGCTCCACTTCCATAAAATGCAAGAAACTAACGATAGAAAAGTGGAAAATAAAAATCGACGAGATTCACCAGCCAGTTATTAATGAGAGTTTTTTTATCTTCGAAACTTCAAATATAGGGCAGGTATCGATCACAAATGGGGAACAGAGCATGATGATACGACCGCAGGGGATAGTGTGTTTCCGTACAAGTGACAAGCGAAATTTGCGCCAATAAGTGACGTACAGTATGTACGTCTTACATTTGCATGAAAATATATCGCCACTGTTGTTATCTTTGGCGGAAATCCGGCTTACTAATTTGGGCAAATATAGATTTAAAAACTGCTTAATTTGATGTTAATATGACTCTTGCAACATACATACTTACTTACTTCATTAGATAGAGAAAGCATAAATAATGTCTGTTTTTCGTAGAATATTAAAATACATACAATTTATCGCTATGTAACGACGACGTATGGGTGTCGACTGGGAAACTTCGAGATCTCGATTAAATAAGTCAGTTCAGAATATAATAAAATCTTTCACACAGTCAATCAGAACAGGAAAGATCCGTACCCTAGGAGCTTGCTAAAAAGGCTAGCGTGTCAAAACCTGTCAATTACTGTTCTTAAGACCCTTGTCCCGTAAATGGCTAGAAGGTCCATAAATTGCATACCCTATAACCGATACTGGCGGTCTTATACTATACAGGATGTTAGTGTAAACACCGTTATCCTTGAAACCAGTGGTATGGTTTCACTTATAGAACGTAAATTCAATGAAAAATAACAACATTTTTTTTGTAAAATCTCAATTTTCCTTAATTCCTCAATTTTGTCTTAAGCCAGGACGAAAGTATAAAGGAAAATTTACATCACAGGTAAATTGGACCTATTGTGTTTTTATTGGAATTTAGTGTAGGTAGCTAGCGCGGGCGGTGATCTTTACAGTGATTACGTCACTCGGGCGCATAGGGTGTCGGACAGAAACTTTTTAAATTTTATGAAAGAAAATAGCGTTTTTTTTTAATTCATTGAATTTACGTTCTATAAGTGAAACCAAACCACTGGTTTCAACGATAACGGTGTTTACACTAACACCCTGTATAAAGTAAGGATCATCAGTCGATGCCCCCGCGCTTCACCACATACAACTTAACACACCTAAAATATTGAGAATTTCTTTTCATAATGATTTCTTTCTTATATTTACGCGAACAGTACACATTGATTAAAACTACTTTTACGAAAGTCTGCAGTTGTGAGCATATCCTAGGCGGCCCCAACCAGATTTGATAGACCACAAATCTTCGCGAAAGAAAATCGATTCCTACCAAGGATAATACGTGAGGCTATCGAAATTAATAAAAAAAACACCCTAATTTCAATAGAGAAGGAGGCTGGGTACTACCACCTGCTTGGGACCCTGTAATTAATAAAATTAAAACTAAACCCAAGCATAACACTGCAAGACTTCAAGACCGAGTAAGTTCATTCTGCATAGATCGTACCATAAACAATAATTAAAAAGCTGAAGGTACTCCGGATTAACATTGACATCGGGTCAGTCATCAGTCACCTCAGTCCCCCGTGACCATTGGTGCTGGAAAGCAACCGAAACGTCGGGAATTAAAAAAAACATTTAAAATTAAACTTTCATGACAACAAAATTGAAATTGTACTAATCAACACTTTTCCGTTCTAAAAAATGTAAGTTTTATTTTATATAGTTGTAACTCTTCATTCGTATAATGTTTTCGTTTTTCACAGTCTGCTGGCCACTACCACGACGGTGATTGGAGCCCTAACGGCGGTTACCTTTACATCACGATTGTGTACAACTTCTCTGTCAGTCTTGCCCTCTACGGTCTCTTCCTCTTCCTCGGCGCCACAAGGGAGATGCTAAAACCTTTTGACCCCGTGTTGAAGTTCTTCACTGTCAAGTCAGTCATCTTTTTGTCGTTCTGGCAAGGTAAGTCTGCAAGATTTAATTTTTTTATATATACTGCCAAAAAATATTTAAACATTGTAATAAGATAAAATAGACAGGACGCAAATAGTGGCACCTATTTCTGTGATGCTTTATTTTCATTTGCATTATTAAAAGCACCTAAACGCCTGATAACACGATGAAACAAATGAATGGCAGAGAATAAGATATTTCAATTTATAATTGTGAAAGTCACTGTCTTGCGATTAATTCTAAGTCTAGTAAATGTTTTATTACCAAAGAAGCTATGATCTAAGATAAGTATTAATTATAGATACCATCATTACTTTTAGTAGGTTTAGGTAGTAGGTTTTGGGCCTGACTGTGTTTTGATTGTCCCAATGTTAAATGTATGAAACAAATAAAAATTTAATAAAATTATGACATTGCTTTAAATGCTTTCTTCACTGTTATTGCGTATGGATTTAATGGAGCATGTTAAGATTAAGGCGCGTGAATGCCCTTTGTTTTACTGTATCTTCTGAGCAATTGTTAAATTTTTAATATTTTGAAAGTAGTCGCCGTAGAGTAATTATCATATGAAACAAACATAAATTACTATTATCAGTTTTGATATACACTTTTTGTAAGGGCTGGCCTATGTTGAATCGGTGTTTTGTTTTTAGTTTAATAGATTAAAAATTGTGTATTAACAAAAATTCATAAACAGTTGTAGCGGTGCTGTCGTCGCGCCACAAGCGAAAAACACACCGAAGCCTAAATCGCGCTATCAACATTCCAAATCATAAACAGTATATATAGAACTTCTCCGAACTATCACACGGAGTGTTGGTCGCTCCCCGGGCAGAACACCTTGCCCGGTGGGAGATCTCCCCTTTTCCTACCACGGCCACACAGTTATTTCCTATGTGTAGATAACGACTTAGAGTAAGGGTGACCAACAAGCACATAGTCCATCTGATGTTAAGTGAATACTGTAACCCATAGACTAATCAAAATGTAGATACGTTGTAACTCCAGAGGAGTAAGATGGAATGCATCGTTTTCAGTAAAAAGGGTCTTCCGTTCCTTACACTCACCATTTGAAACACAGCAGCATAAAGCTGCTATTTTACGCTTGTGTTCTGTTACAGCGTGGTCCTTCCACGTCCGAGCCGACCCATTCGTGCTACAACCATAATATAGCTACAGCGTGGCTCTACTACGTATTTTGCGTGGTACAGTCACGTTCACATTATGAATCGTTTTGGTCCATGGAGGTCTCGTCGTTAGTTAAGTTGATGTCATCTACACGCACCTAGGTACGTGCAGGTATCGGGCCTCGGGGTATACCCCATTGCCCGGATATCCTCATACCCCATAACTATGGGGCAGTCACTTTTTGCCTATCTTGGCATGGCTATAACTACATTTATGTAGCCGGATAAGAAATTTCTTTCCGTAGTTCACCGACTACGGAAAGGGAGGTAATCTGTAGAGGTAATCTATAAGTCTAAGTTGGCCTTTCTGCGGCATTGTGGGTTGTTACTCGACTCTCTAATCACATATAGAGAGGAGTTCTCTTGGAAGAGGTCGCCCGTCCGGTGGCCGGGGGTGGCGCAAAGCCGTTCAGGTGTTCATGTGGCCCGTTATCGGCACGGTCAAACATGCCGCGCGCTAACCGGGCCACGAAGTCGGTGATGGTCTCGACTTTCAGATCGGCCGCTATAACGTCATTCCGGACGTAACGACCTGCTCCGACAATCGTCCTTAATGACAGGTTCTGCTGAGCCTGTAGTCGCCGCCTCTGGGTGTCGCTCAGAACGCGTACCAGGCCGGAGCAGCGTAGGTGGTAATAGTCCGGATATACATCTTGTATATCCGGAGCTTGGTTTTTATGGGCAGCTTGGATGCCAGGACCGGACGAAGCATCGCCCGCGCACATCTGGCTTTGCGGACGACGAAGTCGACGTGCGTCGTTGTCGACGTCTCGTCGTTGACAGTCGTGTACTAGTAGGGTATATTGCAAGTCGCACAAACGCACGATGTGAACACTGAACAGGCGTGGGGCTGGCGATCCTGGAAAAGGCGGAGGTGATCTCGCCGCTGGTGGACGCGCGCGGCGTGCCGACCACGGCGGGCACGGTGTCGGCCGGCTACCAGAACTTCCTGATCTGCATCGAGATGCTGGCGGCCGCCGTGGCGCTGCGCTACGCGTTCCCCGCCGCCGTGTACGCGCACGCGCGCCGCGACCCACACCGCTCCGTCACCATGCAGTCCATCTCCAGCAGCCTCAAGGTACGACTGTACGACTGGCCGATGTCTTGTTGTTGTTGTTTTTGGCCAAATAAGGCAGGCAAAGGTCCTTTGACCATACAGCCTAACTATACTAGGGTTTTTTGGCCTAAAACCTTTGATTTGTAAGTCTAGTGTGATATATATTTTGTTCACAAAACTTTATAATATGCCGATTCCTCAGTTTAATCCAGTGGACTGATGACAATAATATCTCAAAGCTCCTAAGGGGCCATTCGTTAATTTCGTAGGGGTTCCGAAGGGAAAGGGGGGGAGGGTTAAAATCTACATGGCCTTATCTTGGGTGGAGGGGGTAAAACCCATTCTTACTTAATATTTTATAAGGCGATATTTAATATTGGAAATCTAGTTCCATTTCGGATGCCGAATAATTTTCTTGATTCTATAATGTGCACTTAGATTTACATCTTATTTTACAATTTTTTACTGTTTATAAATATTTTAAAATCTTAAATGTGTTGATTTTTATCCATTTTAAATGTTATAAGTAATACTTATAGTATATTCTTAATGAACTATGAATATAAAAAATGATTACTTGCAAGCGACAATAGCATTAAATCATTATTTTCCTTTATTCAATAATAATTCCAATCACAACAGTATATTATTTTACTCAAACTAATATTATTTCATAAATTTAAAAATCCCGCGTAGTTTATTATTTTAAAAATATTCGTTTGTAGATTGTTTTACTGATTTATGTTTGCTCACTTAATATTATTTAAAAGCTTACTTTTAATTATAATAATGATATTCCAAAGACTAGATACAATCTCAACTAGTTTTCTAATAATAATATAAGGGGTTCGAGAAATCTTATGTATCCTTACGCCCAGGGGGTCAAAAATCGTCAAAATTACTACATCCATCATATGCATCTATCCATCTGTTCATCATCATCGTTGCAGCCCTTCACAAGTCCACTGCTGAACATAGACCTCCCCCAAGAAATGCCACAAAGCACAGTTCTGAGTCACCTGCATCTATCGACTTCCTGCATGTCTTATCAGGTCGTCACTACATCAAGTAGGGGGATCGCCCTACACTTCGCCTACCAGTACGAGGCTGCCACTCGAAAACATTTTTTCCCATCGGTTGTCGGTTCTTCGGTCTATATGACCAGCCCATTGCCACTTTAGCTTACTAATTCGTTGGGCTATGTCTGTCACTCTGGTTCTACTGCGGATTTCCTCATTTCTAAGTTTATCACGAAAAAAAAACCCCGAGCATAGCCCTCTTAGTAGCTTGCTGAGCGACCTTGAGCGTCCTCATACGGTCAGCAGAGAAAGACCATCCGTTACAGCCTATAAAAGTGCACTGCTGAGCATAGGCTTCTCCTATAGATATCCTCATAGGGAAGATTTACAAGATTACGTATTTGCGGTTAGGTTGCTGATTTTGGGAGGCATATAGTGTACCATAGTAGTCATCGATCACAGCGAGAAATTTAGGCTTCCACGTGAGAGTTTTGCCATCACATGTCTTTTGTTTTATAATGTACTTAGCTTTTTCCAAGTCACATAGTTGCCACACTTGGGACGGCGTTAGCAACTGTAGATTTTTATTATTTTCAGTTGTTATCATGAGACGGCGATACGGGGTAGTGGATATTCTTACACCGTCACTCCACGATTAACTTGTTATATTGTCTCCACTAATAATGCATAGGTGCAGACATTTACTACACAAAACCGCACCACATATACCCGTCAAAATCTACTTCATACCATAATTTAAACGTTAAAACAGAAACAGCAATCCGCCGGTGGTCACACCCCAGCTAAAATCTATAGGAGATGAATCTTAAGTTTACAACTGTATTAATTACAATTTTTTTTTTCAAAATATGCAAAAAATTTAATGATATTTCTTGTTTATTTTTTGAGAACGTTTTTAAATGTTGTTGTTATATTGTGCTAATGGTATTGTTACGAGCTTGAGGTTCGTGACAGTAAAAACTGTCAAAACACCAATTAACCCTTAAGCGCATATTGTATCAAAAATGATACGATGAGATTATCGATTCATAATTTTGTTAAACTACGTACACACAACTATGCTGTATGTTAAATATGTCCTATGCCTAATCATCTTTTAGAATGTTTAAGTAATCGATGACCATTTCCTAAATAATTTGGCGGTAACTATGAAAACTTTTTTTCCTGTCTGTCATAACCTTTTTTCGTGGGATTACAAATTTTTATTGATTTATTTTGGAGTGATTTTAACACAAAAGCTGACCCAGAAAAATATTAAAAATACAGGTTAGAGTATTGTTTCACTGTTAAACACATATTTCAAGTGAATTTTACTGGCGTTTGATAAAAAAAATGATAATTTTAGTTGTATCAAAAATGATACATTATGCAGTTAGTAGGTCCCGTTTGTACATTTTCGCTAGTATAGTAGGCTTGTATGATATGTGATTGTTATATGTTTTTCCTCACTTTTTGAGCATGGAAAAAAGAAAAATAAAAGATAATGAGATTGAAGACCTTTTAGCAATATTGGAAGGTGGATTTTTATCGGAGGAGAAAGCAGAGTCTGATGATTATGAATTAGATTATCACCCAAATATTGATGAAATTCGTGCTGCTTTAGTAAATCACGGGGAAGAACAAATGGGTTACGGTGATTTCCATAAGTCTCAAATCCGGGACGAAGGTGTACCACCTCTTGTAAATGACGAAAATTATTTGCGAAATGGTGATAATCCTCCCTTAGTGAATGAAGGTAGTGGTTTTGCACGAAATATTCCCAACAGGTGTCATATTACGATTGAAACTGCTAGACTCAAATGGAGGAAACATTCCTGAGAGTTTTGGGAAGATAGCATTCGTTTTCAGAATGAGACAAAATATTCTCTCTAAGTTATAGCCCTAGAAAGTCCATACAAATTTTTCAGTAATTTTTTTACTCCTGATTTTTTAGATAAGATTGTAAAAAGGTCTACTCGATATTCAATCCAAAAAAATCCCGACCAACCAGATCCAATCACAAAATCAAAGTTACAATAGTACTTGATGGGAATTAATATCTATGTCAGTTTTTCATCATCCAAATATAGGAGCTTACTGGAATAAAAAATACGGAATTATGCCAATTATACAGAGTATGACATTATATAGATTTGAAAAAATTTGATATATATTACATTTTAACGATAACTTCAAACATCTGCCTATAGACAACCCCAACCACGATAAACTACACAAGCTGCGACCTGAGGTAGAACATCTGAATGAGAGTTTCCAGCATTCATATAGACCAAAGGCTTTCCATAGATGAACACATAAAAATGTGTGCAACGAAAATGGGCCACTTCCTAAAACAATACCTCCCATATGAACCTCACAAATGGGGGGTTCAAACTTTATATGCTATATTCTCTGGTAGGGTACGCATACAAAATTATAATTTATACAGGAAAAGATAATGAACCTATGTTGGAAAACGAACCATATCTGGGAGTGGTTGGGAACACTGTTGTAAAATTGTTGAGGATTATCCCACGCAAAGTAAACCACATTGTTTACTTTCACAATTTCCACACCTCTTTATCTCATATGTATTACTTAGCTAAGAAAGGGATATTATGTCTGGGAACTATTCAACAAAATCGGTTAGGTAGGAAAGTTACTTAACTTACCGTACAAAAAATGACGTTAATGCATAATGTATCAAAAATGATACAAACTTTTTTTTATTAAAATTACTTTAAAAAAAATGAAAATAATTTTTATTCTTTATTTTTCCCAAATTCAAGACCTAAACATCTAAATTATATGTTTAAATTAGTTAAAACAAAAAGTTCATGCACTTAAGGGTTAACACTTAAAAGATACTAATAATAAATCACACTGATTCACTTTATTTCGCTCCGAAGCTTCGCTTGTCTCGCCAAATTCAATACTGCCCCGATCATGGCTTGCAGCGGCTTTAAATACACCTTTTCCACCGAAACATCCAGAATGTTCCAGCAAATACCGGTCCCGATCGACTAAGTGCAGAAAGTTCGAGAGCGGACCCTTCTAGAAAGCTTAATTTTTCTGTTCGATACTAGATGGCGCTGTTGGTGGCAAGTTCAAGGTTGACATTTTATAGGAAGCCCTCCTCGCTCTGTTCCTCGACACTAGATGGCGCTAGTGCCAGGTACCAGACATCAACTTAGGCGCGCAACAGTATTTACCCTTGGACCCTTATTTTGTCTTCATACACATGGAGTATTAATTTATTTTTACCTTTTACAGGAAACCATGAATCCGAAAGATATTATGACAGATGCGTTCCATAACTTCCATCCGCAATACCAACACTACACGCAGTATAGCTCCGGTAAGTTCATATCGTAATGTGTGCATGACGTACTTTGCTGCCTGATATATTTTATTTGCCAAATATTGAACCAAATATATGAATTATTTTAATGTGCTAAAGTAAACAAAATTTTTAGCTATATACTTGGTTGTCATCTATACATTTTTTTAAAATGCCTTCAAATTATATAAATGTGTATTATCTAATAGATTATTCCTGGCTCAGTAGAATTTTTTCAAAATTACTTTGTATAATTTTTAGTTTTATCTGTAAACGTAAACGCGGTCTTTTTATTTTTGATTTCATTTTCTTTCAGATGTCACATCTCATCTGCCTTATGAGAAATTATAAGCTCTGCCATAGCTGTGCTCTGTGCTCTGCATGAAGTGCATTGCTGTCTATCTGTGCATTATGTATACATAATAAAAATAAACACCCATGCCATGATCAAGCCACATGTAGCACTGACATTATATAATCTTTGTTGATGTGATCTCTACAAACAGTCATGGACTATTTCATAACTACGATAAGAACACTATAGATTTATACCTGTTTATTTTTTCTGTTTTTCTTTTTATTTCCCTTTAAAACCCATTCCGCAGCGCAGAAAGTGTAAAAAATATGTAAAAAATCTTGTTAAACAACTTGAGACGACATGATTAGTTTGTTATAAAAACGTTTTCATATGCGATTTGTATATGATAAAACAGATCATAACGGAGAGCAAAAAGTTGCTTAAATATAGGAATGTGGCATTAGTCGATGTTGCAAGTTGCATTATAACCTGCCGAGCATGGCTAGTTCACTCACTAACCGAACACTGTATGCATATCTCAATGATGCAAATAACTTTAAATGATATTGACCAGTTTTCATTTGGACATCGCTATCACATTATGACATATCTTCATTGTCTTAACACATACAATATAAAATTTGATTTATATTAAGAGAAATATATTTTAACAGATATTTTAGACAACTAAACAAAAAAATTAAAAAATAACATAAAATCTATAAAAATGAGACATGTGAAGTTAAGTAATCAGACATTTTGCTGTTCATATATGATAGTTTTATACACAAAAAATTTAATATATGGTAAGTATTATATATTTTATTTCATATTTATAACAAATGTTGAACCGCTGTAAAACAGAATGTTATATAGAAGTTAACAATAAACCTTTATATTCATTTTAGAAAAGTTTTCCAGTAAAATATCTAATAATTCTAATATTTATAAAAATAACATATAGCGTTTTTCAGTTATATTCTCAAAATATACATATTATATGATATAACCTGTATATAATAAAAACGCCCCATAATTTGACTAGTCCGATGAGCATAATTAACAAAATTTAGTAATTTTATGTGTCACTTTTAATATTGTTTTATTTTAGAAAATAACAGAAAATTTATACAACCTTCTTTAAGTAAGAATGATGTTTAACATGCATAAATAATTGTCCTGAAATGTACAAAATAAAGAATAAAAGAAATGTTGACGTATTCGGACTATTCAATATTAAATTCTATTCTATTTCCAAAAATTCCTTTTATTTTTGTACCTTGCGCCAATACGTGTTGTGGGAGTGTGTGTTAATGTTTTTATTTCTGTGATTTGATTTTTTTCTTAAATCTGTACATTTTTGTTAATTCTCTACTAGTTAGTGGATATGATCCGTTAGTTGATGCTAGGCTTGTTAAATTCTTGTAATATAAATTACTGTTTTTTTTTTGTCTAAAAGCATTTTTCGATTTAGTACATAATGGGTCGTTAGATAACAGGCTAGTGTACCAATTTGATTCCACCGAAACATGTACAGTTTGAAAATCACCAAAGCCCGATATTTTATCGGTGATATTGTCAGGTGTTAAAATGTTAAATGGAAATGTTATAATATATGCTTTGTATTTACGCGTCTTAACGTGAACGGATTTTTTTTTCTTTATTTAATAATCTAGGTTTAAATATAAGTAGCTTTTTATATTATCAGTTTTGTGATTTTTTTTAAATAAAAATAAATATTATTTTTAACGTAACTACATATTGCGATGCTTAGATTAAGGAGAATAATTGTTTCAATTTTAACTTGCGATAATTGACACTTAGAATAATTTCATTTTTGTATCTGCCCTTTCGCTAACAAATAAACGTCTTTACTATATTGTTATTATTTTGATTATTGAACTAACGTCAACCGTGACTTCGTGGAGGAGGTAAGTACGGCATTTCTATTGAATGTATGCTTATTACCAATTGTTTTGCTGGCATGACTCTATGTAATGTTCGGTAATGTTATCATCGTATTGATGTTTTCTATGTTTGATATTGCCTATGTTAGATCTAAGTTTATTATACGATCAACATATCATTATAATTAAAATAATACTTTCCATACCACAATACCTTTGGTATCCATTATCTATTTCAATTATTGCACTGTCTTATTCATAAAAATCACAAAAATAGATTTACAAAACGTCAAATGGTAATAAAATACAGTAATCTGACCAACCCTGAATCCGTGGGATCATCTCACAATTGCTATTATTAAAAATAATTTTAAGTTATTTCATACTTTAGTAAATATCAAAAAATTGTCATTTGATATGAGAATTATATGCGTAACGTTTTGTATTTTGTAAAAGTTAAGCTGTGAATGCTTTCATAACATTCTGAACTAAATCTATATATTATTATAAATACCACCCGTATAATACAAATAAGGTTGGTCACCTTACGAACGAACGTTATAACCACGGAACGTTATTTTTGAATAAGACCATAAGAGAATGAACATTTTTATATTGTTTCAATTGTAATAAATATTCTTGAGTAATGAAATTACGTATTAATTACCTCACATCCTAATTGAAGCTTATATCATCAATTAAAATCGTGCACTAAAAATCATTACTCCGAATACAATAAACGTACGCACAACTAACTTCCGGTTCTTTCACGACTCATATTAAGTAAACAAGATAAACTTGTTTCACTGGCACGTTTCTACATTTATTTTTAACGAACTGAGCGAGGCACACAGTCTACACATTAGTATAGATTTTTAAAAAGGAACCTACACTTATGATAATCGAATTGAGAAATTCACGATCTTTTTAACTTTAAATGTCAAGTGTGTATATTTAAAGGAATGATTATGCACAGTGATGCGGAGTGCCGGTATAGGGAAGCGGGGAGTTGACGAGGGGGCGACTTTGGCGCCCCGGCCTCCGCCGCAGCGCGTGGCCACCATCAGCAACGCGGCCAACTACCACGAGAAGACCACCCTGCTGAGCTCCGACGACGAGTTTCAATGAATGACGGATTTAGTTCTACCACGAATACGATCGCGCCTATAAACAAGAGTATTGTAAAAAAAATATATATTAATGGATAGGCAAGATTATTTCAATTTGACAATTTATAGTATTTATCACTAAGATGAATCGTGTGTTGCATACGGAAATCGTAGCCTCAACGCCCTTAAAGCTTCGTATCGACTACGCGCGGCGAACCATCGAACATTGGGTGCGTTTGGCAGAAAAAGCGCTAGCAAGCGCTTGTAAGCAAAATGGCGAAACTAAATAATTTTCGGCCAGGACACGTTTGCTAACTTCAGTAGCGCTGACACAATCTGCCATTTTGCTTATTTAATTTGTTTGTTTTGAAGTAGAGTTTATAAGTTGTTTTGTGCTATATTAGATTTACTTAATATAATGACATGAATAGACATACACATGTTATTAAAAATTCATGATCGGTAAGTTTTTAATATGAATACTTTACAAACATATATTTAAGTTAGGTTAGGTTCCCCGGTTAAAACTAACTTCGTGTCCTAGAGGAAAATAGCTACTTACGATTTGACAGCGCTTACCGCTTACGATCGCCATTTTGCTTACAAGCGCTTGCTAGCGCTTTTTTTCTGCCAAACGCACCCATTGGCTCGCGCGGCAGCTGCGCGCCGTGGATACTGTGTTGCCGCGCGCGACATCGAAATGTCGACGCTATCAAAATTCCGAATCATAAACAGTATATATAGAACATCTCCGAACTATCACACGGAGTGTTGGCCGCTCCCCGGGCAGAACACCTTGCCCGGCGGGAGATCCCACTGTGGCCGTGGTAGGATAAGGGGAGACCTCCCGCCGGGCAAGGTGTTCAGCCCGGGGAGCGGCCAACACTTCGTGTGACAGTTCGGAGATGTTCTATATATGCTGTTTATGATTCGGAATTTTAATAGCGTGATTTAGGCTTCGGTGTGTTTCTCTTGCGGCGCGACGACAGCGCTGCCACAGGTACTAAAAAATTTCTATGGAACAGTTAATGTCGTGATTATCACAACAAATCATTAAGAAAAGATGCCGGAAATGAAATCACTTCGTTTCGTCAAATCGTTTCACTTCGCCGACGTACAACGTCCATGGTTGCCACGCACAAAATGAACGTTCGTTGGCAGATCGACTGCCGCGCGCGGCTGCCTCGCTGAAGTTAATTTGTGCACTAAAATTGGCTTGTGAGCCATAACACGGCTTTGCCCCGGGCGAACATACTCGCGCGGAAGCCGCGCGAAGTCAATACGCAGCTTTATAATTACACTGGAATAAAAAATAAATTCAACTATATATATATATATATATATGTATATATACAACTTTTTATCTTTCCTGCTATTAACCCATATAGGCCTACCGTACCCTATGTGGTACAGTTACTTTGTAAAAATATTTTGATGTACCCACAAATTATTAACTTTTTTGGTTAGTTGTGGCAGATAACTCAGAGTATTAGTTTTATATCAACAATATAACATACACATTTTATGCGAGTTATTATCAGTTTATATTAAAATTGCTAGACAGAAACGGAAAAAAACAATTTACAATGTCTTCAAGAAGGTAAGTTTCATGTTATCTATAGTAAATCATATTATTTGTTGGTATTATTTTAAATACTAGGCTACAATAGACGTAATAGCTACAAATAAGTTTCACTTGGGTCATTTTAGTAAGGTGTACACAGTGCTAGATTAGGTGTATCATATATGGTACAGTAGGTCTATGTATGAGCACAAAATACCTAAGTCAATTTACATATTATTATATTAGCTTTTTATTTATCTTTTTGTGTTTTATTGTTTTAGGTCATTGACATTACATGAAATTGCTACAGTTCTTGAGGAAGATGATGATTTTAGCAACCAGAGACAAGATTTTGATATTTTTTTACTTCCACCTGACACCGCCAATGATTACCAAACTGACGAGGACTCGGGTGAAGAAGATAACGTCAGCATAAATAATTTGCCTGGAAGTTTGCTTCGAGCTCCAGCGGA